TTTAAACATTTCTCTGTAAGATCAAATACGACTTTCATATGGACAAAACCACGTGCAAAAACTAGTATATGTACAAAACTATATATGTAACCGTATTATATGCAAAATCAGAACGCCCATCAATATACCTTATCTAAGAATATACGACATTGTAGAATTAAGATAAAACAATTATATACATATACATATAATCCCTACTAATATTATAAATGGGAAAGTAACTCTGTCTGTCTGTCTGTTACGCTTTCACGCCTAAACCACTCAACAGATTTTAATGAAATTTGGTACAGAGATAGATTTGACTTGAGAAAGAACATAGGATAGTTTTTATCCCAGACTTTTCAAAGGTTCTCTTGGAAACGCAATATAACCGAACTAAACGACGGCGAAGCTGCGGGCGGAAAGCTAGTACATAATATAATTAAGATCTATAATCTCGTTTGTGTGTTGTGATAACAAAGCGTTATCAATGAGACGCTCCCTCGTACTCTTATCAATACAAGGATAAAAATAACTTTTCTATATATACATAACATCTTGTCTTCCTCAACATGTTATTTACAATTATATAATCTTCTATATATAATATATAGGTTACTAAAATTTAATAATTATTCTCTTATTTTTATGAGAATAATGTATAAGTCTATAGAAAAAGATTTCCATGAATCATTTCTTGTTATAAGAAACATATCATGAATGTGAGATAACAAGACAACGTGACTTATTATAAAGAGAAACAAAAGTAATTAATACGAAATACCTTTGATTATATCAAAATTCATTTGAACAAGATTTCGCACAGAAAATTATATGTAAGTGCTATTATATATATTAAGTCAGTGGTGTCCTAGTGGTTAAACGGCCCGCCTCTCATGCATGAGGGCGCGGGTTCGATCCTGGCAAGTACCAATGTGATTTTTCCGAATCATATGCACTTTCTACGAGTATTTAGACATCACTGATTAATGCATTCCCAAAGAGAGTTGATGTCAGGCAGGCGGCCGGTCGTAAAAACAATTAGGCAAAACTATTCACAACATGTAAGACAGGTAATTTCCAGGTAGAAGAAGATTATGAATTCTATATAAAAAATATATATATTAAAATTGTGATACATATAGTCTATGTATATACGTAAATAACTCCTGTATCCTGATGGACGTCCAATAACTCCTAACTAAAGCAATCTAAAGCGTAGGCGAGGGCAGTTTATAATCGGATATCAAACTAGTCTGTGGGTGCAATACACCCACAACAAACACGCCGTACTGCAAACATTCAGGAATTAATTGAAAACGAAATAATCATCAGCAATAATATTATATTTGAGAATATGTTCGGACTGAAATAGTTTAATTGGCTTTGATTTACTGTCAGTATACTAGTTTTTGCTCGCGACTTCGTCTGTATTGATTTCGAAATAAATAATAATATGTGTATAGCTGTCCCGGCGAACTCTATTCCGCTCTAGAGGCCTTAAATAACAAAACATTGAAATTTAAGGTTTTTTCTTTTTCAAATGAACAGAATTAAATATCCCATATCATCTCCTTGTTTTAAACTATCTCCTCATCAATTACCAACCATGTCCCTACAGCCGTTCTTGAGTTATAAATAGTGTAACTAACACAATTTTCTTTATTACTATGTATATATATTCTATTTGTACATAATTTTAATTATTAATCACTTCCAGACAAAGACGTCAACATTGTTTATTTGTTGTAACACGTTCGATAATCTGAGTCTGTCCCCAGTACATAGATAAGTATTTAAACCACCGGCCTTATCAGAATATTAAATATAAGTAGCGTTAGCACAAAAATGCTATAAATCACAGTTAATAGCGTCAACTCTCACATTAACCGGTTGCGACACAACTAACACTAAGGTATACACAGAATGTTTTTATAGGTTTCCCGCTAAGTACTTAATCTTGCTCGAGCTTCCATACTTGTTTTCCCCGATCATATTAAAAATACACACAAACACACATATACATGTATTATACTTATGCATGTGTGTGTATTATATAATATATAAACACGAAAATAATATAAATACCAATATTATGTAGTATATAAATAAAAGAACAATGTATTTACAATAATTATAATATTATCTTGGTAAGATACATACTGTTTAAGAGAACTGTTTAGAAATTTGATGCAAATTTTGAGAAAAAAATTGCATTCTTATGGTAAAGACATAATATTATATGGATTGTAGTAGAATTTTATTGAATAAAGATATGATATACTTTTTTGTATATAAATATTGTTCTGTATACAAAAAAAAAATCTCCTCAGGGGAGAAAAAACTATCTAAAAAAATATTTTTATTACATTAAGACTTACAATTACATACCTCTCAATACAAAAGTAAATAATAATAATCAGTGCAACAGTTATTTGAATTGCTCCTTATTAAAAGAAAAAAGTCGTAGTGCTAATACTAATTATTACAATATATGTATACATAAAACTCATAAACTATTGTAAGTAGTAAAATACTAAGATATTACAGAAAAGCTAGCTTATACCTGTGACTTTGTCTGCTAATTTGATAATTAAAATTTTTCACATATATGTAAAAAATACACCTCACTAAATACATAACTTCATCTATTAAAAAAATATTGTTTTTAATCATAATGTATATTTTATATGAATTTAATACAATGTATTTATGTATTAATATATAAGAGATGAAACCGCTCATCATCCAATGTATTCACGGTGCGTGTGTCGGGTCCTTTGTTGTAGTGAGAGGAGCTTCAACAGTGACTGGGACTTGCGACCCAGGTGTAGGTTTAAGCGGGGGATTTATCTCAATGACTATTAGTATGTATCAATTTATATTAAAATATATTTTAAATGTATTTCAAAATTATCATTACACCAAATATATGATATTGGTGAATTACATGTATGTATAAAATGTATGGATTTGCAACATATGTATTCCGTACCTACCATTTTATTTTTATTATATCATTATATTTAAAAAAAAAAATTGTGTTTGTTACACTATTTGTGACTCAAGAATGACTGTAGGGATATGGTTGAAAATTGTTGGGAAGATACATTGGTACCAGGAGACAGACATAGGATATTTAATTCTGTTTGATTAAAAAAAAACTTAATAAATGAAATATTTCGTTATTTTTGACCAAAGGTGGAATACAGTACACTCAGTCAGCTGTATATATATACTTACTAAATTCGAAATTTAGGCAGACGAAGTCATGATCAAAAAGTAGTATATATTAAAAATAATATAAATTCTATCTCTCAAACATATGCATTCCTGTATTCTTATGAAATTGTTTGTATTTCCAATATGATGTTCAACAATCGCCGTTTTCTAGTGTGTATTAAAACCTACACTAACAAAGCTATTTATATACAGAAGGTCAATAGTTCACATTAGTAATTAACAATTTATTCAATAAACACATAGTTCAAAAACACTCAATAATCTATGTGTATATATAGGTATACCTAGAAATACATAAAGACAGAAAACAATATAATATATCAGTACATTATAAAATTCTAAATTAATATGTTGGATAATATTTTCTCAATACAAAAATTATATGATAATACAAAAATTATTGACAAGAAGCAGTGCTCAGCAGTGGGCTCTGATAGGCTGATGATGATGATGATGAAGAATTTTTATAATTGTAATGATTTCAATGAACAATTACTTAAATAACAATAAAACAATGTACATAATATATACCAACAATTATTAATCACTAAGCAATTACTATTAATAGTGAAAAATATAGTAAGTGACATGTGTGTATTTATTTTTGAAGTGACAGTGTATCAGACACACATTAGTCATGTGCATTAGGTCACACACATTACTAACAAGATAATGTAAGATTTATCATAGAAATACCACAAACTAATAAATATCACATTATATGGAGTTTACTTATTACTTCATACATACACACACACACACACACTAAGAGACACACACATATATATATAGTATAAGTAACCAATACACTTAAGTTGCTTTATAAATTGCCAGGTATACCTATATATTACACATAGATTATTGAGTGTTTTTAAACTTTATATATAACATGAATATTTTTAACCAAAAAATTTTATCAAATCTGCAATCTAGAAATTTATTGATATATCAAATTGGGACCAACAAGAACTGATAATTTATATAAGATGTATATTAAATGTATATAATATTGTATATTAAATCTAGGTTAAATTTGTTTTCATTAAAACCTAATATAAAACAAGCCATTGTTAAACAATTGTGGGAAAAACTAGTAATGTAAAGTATATGTACTTGATTTGTTAGTAAAGAAAGTATAACAAAACTAACAATATTATAACAGTAGAAGTATTCCCAGGCATTGTTCATCAAATATAGTTTACACTTGGTTGAACATATGGGTTATATTAAAATATTGTTCCTATATATAATTTACTGTTGTAGAAAACATATATATATATGTGTATATAATATTTACAAAGTTAATAAGCTTCACTAAACTAGCAATTATTGATGATATTTATGTAAAGGTTTTGTATAGGACTTAAAAATAAGACTAATCGAATAATATATTTGATTTAAAACTTTAAAATTATTATTATAAGCATGGAATATGAGAACAAAGTCTTTTATCATATCTGTCCATTTAAGAACTGCAAATTTATATTTAATAGTGTCGCGTTACGGGATGTAATGTAATCATTATTACAATTGAAGGTAGATAAATATTTATGTTTATATATTGTGTGATCGTTGTAGACGCAACTATCATCGCCGTAAGATGATACAAACTGCTAAATAATAGTTTAATTAATATAACATCGATATCAATCGGTTCCTCGAAATAAATAGCACAATGAAACCTTCGTAACAATTGTATTGACAGCTGAATAAACCTTGAAAACGCCGCAACTTAACAGCGAATATGACAACAATACTGTTTTAATTATTACACTGACCTTCAGCGCTTTGATTCAAAGAAGGCGGCACTTCTGATGTAGACAACTCCTTCTTCTGAACACCTTTAGGTAGATCTGAATCAGAATCGTCAAAAATCAGCGTCCGAACCGACTGAGAACACCGACGATCCATCGCCACTCACTACACAACACCCAAATAAACTAATATTTTCGCCATTAAAAACTCCCGACTACTATCGTATAAGGCATCACACAGCAAAATGCACTTCAAAATGCCTCTTGTTTAACGACATCGGATATGTGGGATTTATTACATGTGAAATTTAATATAATTGTATCATATTTTGTGCCATAATAAATTACGCGACACACGGCTTGAAACAACGAAAGGTGACACTATTTAGTTTTGAAAGATGGCCTGACCAATATAAATGTTGTAGTACAAACAATGTTACCATTATACATAGTAATAAAATGTTTGAAAAAATATTTTTTTTGTACGTGTAGTATTATTAATCTAGTAAATTATTCAAAATGCAATTTTAGATTTTATTATTTATAGGAATGATAAATATATGTTTATCGTCACCAAGTACAATATAAGTAATAAAAAATTTTTTACTCCTTTTTCCTTAAATCCTCTTGAGATTTATATTTTCAGTGTTGGAATATTAAAGCTATTATAATGAGAAATATAACAGTTGTTTTCTATATATATTTTCATGACTTATGACATATATGAAATGAGAATACAAAAAATTAATATTACTATATATTTTTTAATAAGTTCTAATATTAAAAAACATGTTTATTTGTTTTTGATTTATTTTCTGTTTAATGTTTATGAAATATTTTACTTTATTAGGTCTTTAATGGGTAATAACGCCATCTCTCGAGAAATTTCATAGTTTTTTTGTTACCCACAAATAACATATCCACTAAAGCATGGTAACACCATGTTGGTTCAATAATTTTTAACATTTTTATAATAAAGAAAGAAATAAAATGTATATAGTTTTGGTTTTCCTAATAATTTTTTAAAATTCTAAGAATATTATTATCGAAATATTAGTAAGTAATAACAAGTTTAGGTTTCGAAGGTTCTGCCATCTAGTGGAGGTGAATGAGAACTCGGTCATTTTCCCGTCAAAAGAAACGGAAAAACACGAGTGTGCGTCGCCTGTAGTAGATATCAGCTGAATTATTCGGCTAAAATGCCCTGGCACGGGCATACGTAGTCGTCGGTCCGCCATTACGACGCAGCCGAGACACGTTCGTCGTATTTAGTTAAATATTTTCGTTTATAAATGAGTAATAACGCTCATGAGCTCAGTAATCGACTTCTGAATGCGTTGGATAGCAATTACAATGTAAGTTTGCGAGTTTTGAAGATAATAAAACTGATAAGCGAGGTGGAGATACGGAAACCGTCCGCATAGGCCTGTGACACCCGATTCGAGTTGCGATTCAGTCTCTAGGAAGGTTGACTTACAGATGCAAAGCGATTTTAGCGAATGTCAAACCATGTAAAAAGTATCTGTAACGCGGGAGCTTATGTTATGCGAGATCCGTGATGTAAATGTGGTGTGTGTGTGTGGATACGTGAGCGTTGCTAGTGATGTACGGGGCCACTGACGTCGCCAGCGTTCCACTCGTCCCTCCGTCCCAAGTGCCAAATGTTTTGCAATGTGAAAGTATGGAATTGTGCCACGCGTGACCTTTTCCAAAGATTTTCAATTGATTGAGCGGTTAAGCATTTAGCTTTGTCTTAATAGGAATGAGTATTTTTCATCTTTTGCCCACCCGAGGGCGTGGAAATAGTTGGAAACAGCATGGAATAAACCTACGGGCGCGTCATGCCCTTCTACTTATGGAGTGAGGAAATTGATGCACTTTTTACTTATATTCTATCGTATAGTCACAGGTCAGTCTATTTTTCGAAAAAGTTGTGATATTTATTAGACGATATCTTAGAATTTTAGGAAAATGTGGTGACAAGGTTATTGTACTGGGATGTAAAGTTTTAATGATCGTGGTGTTTTTTGAACTTCCTAACTTTTTAATAATTTAATATCAGGATGATACAATAAAAGAACAATCTGGAAAAGATGAAAATTTAAACTGAAATGTGGTGTGAACTGTGGTGGTTAGTTAAAGCTAGTCACTCACATTGTGAGGATGACAGCACATGGTTTTAGAGCACATTTGAACTAGGACTAGCATAATATTTCATACATTTATAAATTACAATATGTTTCCATATTATTACCAATATTGTCACATATTTCATTATCGAGATGAAAGATATTTTATCCATGTAATGACGATGAGTTTTTAAATTCATCCATCTAAATCATAATTAAATTTTTCAGTAATAACATAGCTATTCTTTTAATAAAAAGAAATATTAAGACTGGTATTTATTTGAATTTTGAGAATAGGGACAGGCATAGTTAATTTACATATCAATTTGAATTCATACCCTTGCATGTAGAGATTTTAAACTTTTGTTACTGAATATATTGGGTCGGTATTATTCCTTGAATGGATGTTGAGGGAACGTGTCGTCGTCTTTGAGCTATAAATCATAGCAACTAAATGTATCAGGTGTAAGCTTATCAGTATCATTATAAATTCACTCGGTGAAACCATGATAAAAGTCTTGAATTTTGGCAAATTAATTGCTCGTAAAATATATGATTTCATAACAGTTACGAAACATAGTCACACTAATATTATGTATGACATATATATATTTATATTTATATACATTTCATACTATATACATATGTGTATGTATGTATGTTAGTGCTTAAACCATTTTTATTACTTATCCATAATTATGTAATCGTCAACCCTATTAAAACACAAAATATGTCTACATATATAAGGTTTATTAACAAATTTTCATTAATATTAGTATTTGTATGAAGTGGCTTATAATTATAAATTATCTTATGTCAAAAGTAGATAAAATTTTGTATTATTGTTTCATATAACATAATATTTATGTTACAGGAAAATCTTACTTATACTTGCATATATATACATACACAGTTTTTATAATATTCATATACAGTAAATATATGTATAGATTATTATATTTAATATAGACTTTGTCCTTTCCAAAACTATATATCGTGGCCCCATACATTTTTCTTGGTTAGAAGTTTTTGTCATCTAGAAGTTAGGTCATATCTTTAGTGTCTCCTAAGTAAGAAATCTTTCTTCCATACTTTTAGACTGAATTATTTTATTTTAATTTTATCATACTAACAAATCCTCCTTCATCCAATCTCTTTGAACGAAACACTATAAATTGTTACATATAGAATTAGTTTCCAATACCTGTTTTAAATATTGCCAATATTATAATTTCAGGTCGTCGACATGCAGACTGTTAATGAAATTATTTCCATTCTGGAGAAATTTAATATCACAAAAGAGCTGTTGGAGGTGAGGAATACAAGAAATATATATTATAAATAACATTAAATTACTTGTTTATCATCATTATTAGAAAAATATAATATTTTTCATAACAAAGCCAATAATAGTAAATATTACTCATTATTTCTATATAAGTAATTAATTAATTACTTGTTAGTCTAATTAATGTTTTGTTGAGTATATATTTATGTTATATATCTATTGTTTTAAATGATTTCCAGACCACCAGACTTGGTAAGCATGTGAACGAGCTCCGTCGTAAGACTAGTGAGCCGACCCTGGCTCGCCGCGCCAAGGTGCTCGTGAAGCGCTGGCGGGATCTCGTCATACCTAGCACACACTCACCCGCACATACTGGTAAATACTCATGTATATACACACACACACACACACACACACATCGTTAGCTCCTATGTATAAGGGCCAATGTGAAAAACAAAAAGTAGGGGCGTTTTAAGTTTGATTTCTAGATCTTTTACATGCAACAACTATGCTTTTGAAACTTTGCATGGTAACTATGACATACATACATGTATCATTTAAGCTTGATAAACTTCTTTGTAAACCTACTAGTTTTTTAAATATGTATATATGTATATTTTTTATATTATACATTATATAAAGCCTTATAGGTTAAAAAATTTCTTACTTATGCTTTTTACTGCAATAAATATCAACAAATATGAACACATTTTTTTCATGCATGTTGTAGAATACAGTATAATGAAGTGTTTAAAGCAAAAAAATGAAAATGCCTAAATTGCTACATTGGCGTTTATACATAGCACCCATTGATATCCACACACATATATATATTTAAGAAAAGAAAGTCAAATCAGCAACCTCCTTCATTAAAATTGATTAAAAACTTCTACTCAAGAGTAGCATAACTGTTAAGTAACATTAAGCATAACTGATATACATTAATTAATCTCTTAAAATCTGTTATAGTCCGTTAGATTTAAGCTGAGCTTTGCATTTGTGTGAGTTAAATAAAAAACTTTTAGAATTAAATTTTATTATATTTTAAATAGATACATAACATAAGGGCTATAAAATAAGCAAAACTTGTAAAAGTCCAGGTGGAAATATTTTGAATACCTATTATGGAACAAAAATTATTGATTAATAAGAATTTTGAAAAAACTACAAATTCTCATTCACTTGACATTACGTTTTCAATATTTCATATTGCTACCAGTACAAAAGGTGAAGTGAGGAAGGTGCGGGGCGGAGTAAAAGCAGTATAAACCGGATTAAGATTAGAAAATAACATTTCATTCAAAAATTTGACATCTCATCTACACTATCCGTGTGCACTCACACAAATGCAAAGCTCAGCTTAAATCAAACGCACTATATAATATTACCATTGGTATGCATAATCAAACTTTATTTTTAGTTTTTCATTAATAACACTCACTCAATATTGATGTTAATTTGAATGAGTAACTATGAACTCGAGCTAAAGGTTCATCCTTGAAAACATAATTTTCTATACAAGTACTGGTTTAGTCCTATAAATTTGACTAAAATTAGTAACAAAAGTTTGACTAAAATTATAATTCATAATTATTTTAATAGATTTTAAGTACAAATGGTATTCTATTTGAGCTGTAATTTTTCAATATTATGAAAATTTAAATTGTTTGAAATTAATTCAGAAAAATTTAATGTTGAACATCAATTATATAATCCTTTCTTTATCAATATTTATTATTTCTAATTGAATGAAGCTTTACTTTGTGGGAATACAAAATCATCATTTGAATGAAGATTATATAATATATAATAGTTTATTTCTAAAGAGGGTTGATGTCAGGCAGGTAGCCGGTTGTAAAAAACAATTAGCCAAAAACTATTTACAACATGTAAGGCAGACCCTGGCTAAAGCTGGGAAATTGTCAGAAGAAGAAGAATATATAATAGTTTACAGTGGCATATATATTTTTTATCTGTTCTATATTTTTCTAATTGGTGTATATATTAAAACAAAAAGACAATATTTAGTTTCCCTAAGCAGAGAGTTTCATATTAAAAGTAAATGTGATGTATGATATCATTTAGCGTCAACTTAGAATTATCATAAACTAATTTATTTAAAAATTATATCTGTCAAAAACTAAGCAAATAATATTTCTATATTTTTTTACATGACTCTGTGGTAACACACACAAACTTTTGTCAAATATTTAAAGTAGATTTATTATATTTTGTGTCCTTATAATGATGGGATCGAAATAAATTCAGTGTATCAATTGTCACATATTATAAAAATTCTATGAAAATCACAGAATTATTATATAATGAATATATTTGTTGCAGGCTCAAATCGTTCGTCTGCTGAGCGTCAAGTTAGGAGGCTCGGTGGAACGCCCCTCACTTCACCTGCACTCTCCAGGGTATATAACAAATATTTATATACATAAATATTAATTAGTGTATATAAATATTTAATTTAATTCTGTATTTCCAGAACCTGGTGAGTCCAGCTGTACCAAGTCCAAGACCACCATCTCGACCAGGTAAAAACTAGTATTATTTTATATACTCTTATAGAAGAGATCTTTTCAGTAATATGCTATAGTCAGGGCTAAGTTCAGTGGGTGATAGCGATGGAAATGTTTATTTGATTTTTTCTAGTAGTAGTCTATGTGTACTAATATGATAAAAATGATTTTTGTTCATACAATTTGTAACTATTATTATTATTTCATAATATTAGGAGTCTACATCGAGAAAGTATATAAGCATTATGTGTTCTTAGTAAATATTAATAATGTATGTATGTTTCAGCATGGGGTGGCTATGAGTCAGACTCCCAAGACGTGATCCTCGTGGACGACGACCCCCCACCACCAGTCACTCCCTCCCTCCCACCACACAAACCGGCAACACCTCGTAAGTAATGTAAAATTACCCTCAATAAAGAATATTTTTTAATATGGCAATCCTTTTAGTATCGATACATATATCAAACTGATGTTAATGTATAATATTACAGCTGTAAAAAGGGCGCTGTCACCCGAACCTCTATATGATGAAAAGAAGGCGAAAAGAGATAAGAAACCTAAAAAAAGAAGGTAGTATTTAAAATATTAAACATACAGGGTGACTCTTGAATTACTATCAATATTTAAGGAGAATACTCGGTACATGATTCTCATTCGGATTATGTAAAAAAAAAATAGGCACTTAATTTTTGACAAAATTTCCGTATAAATAAATAAAGTGTTGACACGTTCCAAGTGTTCCAAGTGTAGACGTGTGCTGATACAACACCACGCCGCCGAACGCGTATGTGTGAGTGTGTGTGTATACCTAATCTGTAGGGTGCTCACATGATGCTTAATTAATTACATAACTTTTGGTTAACTTTACTTAGAAGTTTATTAATATTTATGTTATATTAATTTTTATTTTGTCATATATGATCGTCAAATATCACGTCCTCAAATATCGATAGTAATTCACCAGTCACCCTGTATAAATGTTTAATAAGCAATAATACTATACTAATCTTTTCGTGTGTAGGGGACATGGTAGAGCGGGCTCCGGCAGTGAGACGACAGCGGAGCCCCAGAGTCAACACAACTGGGTGTCGAGGAACGGGACCGGCCCTGAACGGAGAAGGAACGGGTGGAAACGAGACCCACCTGACCCTTACGCTGCGCTCGTTAATAGACTGCCTCCCGCCGGGGCGAAGAAGGTATAGTCATTAATAAATGCATACTCTGGTATGTATATGTAGTTTACGTTTTTGTATATGTATTTGTATTTTACGTTTTTAGGTTTAGAGATGATTTATTTCCCATTAAGAACGAAGTTCACTTACATAGGAAACTTAAACTAATAACATAAAAATAAACATTTATAAATTTAATGGTGACCTTATTTATACAAACATTCAAATATTATAAAATTTTACAGTATGTTTTTAATTTAGCCTTAAATTTCAAAAAAGATTTTTCGTTTAATATTTCTTTCAGTAGATTATTGTACATTAGCGCTCCCTCAAATTGTATAGTTTTGTTACCATAATGTTTAGTTCTAGACTTAGGTATTTGTAATTTATGTATATTTCGTGTATAGTATTTATGTGATTTAGTCTTAAAAGTAGTTTGTGTGTATAGATCCTGAGAGAATTTTTCTTATAAGTATGCATGTTTTGTATTTGTATAATTGTCCAATAGATAGTGTATCAGTTTTCTTGTAAAGTTCTTTGGTTGGAAAGCGGTAGTCCAGTTGGTGTAGTGTTTTTAATAGTTTGTTTTGTGATATTTGTAAATCTTTTAAATTAATTTTGTGTGCAGATCCCCATACTTCTATTAAATATTCAAGTAAGGGTTTAGCTAATGAGTTATAAATAATAGTTCGAACTTTATATGGAATACGTCGGACACACCTGCGTAAAGCTCCAGTCAGTGATGTTATTTTAGTTTGCAAATAATCTAAAAGTGGTTGCCATGATAATGATGTTTTTATATATGTATATGTCATAATATGCACTACCCTCTCTAGAATATTTGTTAACCTCATTGGTTGGGTTGCCTAGAAGAAATCGCTTGTAGTGATAAGGCCGCCCTTGCCTTAAATTTTCTGTATTTATATGTTATGTTATTTCCTATGTTTTTGAGTGCACTAAAGTATATTTCTTCTTCTTCTTCTTCTAAATATATATACATATACTCGTATATACACACATAAAGACGAACCGGCCCACTGACAACTATTTTATTACTTCTACGACAATTATCTATCATGAAATGAATGAAAAAGTCAAGACTGTATGAGAAGTTGCGTGAAGGAACTCGTAGCATATTAAATGAAATGAAATGATTCCAGGTGAAGACGACCAAGGAGCTGCTGGAACAGATCCAGTCCCGCGGCAGCAGTCGCCCCTCCCGGCCCGCCTCCCCGCACTCCCCGGCCTCCCCCGCCTCGCCTGACGTCATGCTCATCGAGCCTGACGGTCTGTGTCCACTGACGGTCATGTACCAATAAAATACAGTGTAAACTCTATATAACGACACTGAAGTTACTCTATATAACGACACTGAAGGGACTGTTCATTATGGCGTTATAGAGAGTTGCCGTTAAATAGAGAGAAGAAAAATCAGAATTAGAAAAAGACAAAGTTTATTTCAGACTAGTAGAGTAGATTAGTACTTATGTACATAAAAAATAATGTTATTCGAACGCTATTGCGTATAGTCTGTTATTTTTGTTTGACGTCTTTTGTTGCACCAGTAATGTTGTTGTATTTTTTTACTTATTTTATTAATATCTTGCGATATTGAGGCATCTTGGTGATAAAGTAAATAATTTTCCAGTAGTTTAGCTGCTCCAGAGCTTCTTTAATGCTCGGCGGAGGCTCAGGCTCATCTGTCTCATCTTCTTCATCTCCTTGCTGTTGATCCTCAGTTTTTCTCATTGAATCTAAAATTTAGAGAGTTTGTCGTTAAATCGAGTGACGTTACATGGAGTTTACACTGAATACATATGTCTTGTAGCGTCACTAACATCATCATGATCCGTTTCAGTGTGCCCTATCAAAGTCGAGTCCCCGCTTCGGAACGGCGGCGGAGACTCCGCGAAGATGAAGACGGAGCCGGAGCCCGAGCAGCGCGAGGAGGTCCCGCCGCTGGAGGAGCCGCGCGCCTGGGAGGAGTGTACGTGCGGCGAGGACGAGGCGTCCCCGGACTGCCCCGCCGCCGGCCGCCCGGCGCTCCGGCCGCTGCACGTGCGCGCGCTGCACAACGTGTTGCTCCCCGGCATGAACGGCACGCGCGCCCCGCTCTTCCCTCACCGGTTCGCCGTCCGGCCCCCGGCGCGCTCCGACGACCCCACGCTGTTCTCCAGCGTGGTGCCCCTCTACAACTACTCAGACTACGCGGACGACCACTGTGTCAAAAACATGTCTCGAGTACCGATCTGTGAGAGCCTGCCGTGGACGGAGTTCGCGCCCTCGCCGCCTCCTCCGTCCCCGCCGCCCTCTCCGCCGCCGCTGCGACCCTACCCCTCGCCGCTCCGGGAGGAGGTGTTTCCCGACGCGCCGGAACCTGACGACGACTCCGCCGACTCCTCCACCACCACCAATGTCGTGGAGGCCGCGAGCGAGGACGAGCCCAGGGAGAAGCCGGTCATCGAGCCGGCGATGGTCGGCCTCGCGTACATGGAGCCCGGGGACAGGCTGAAGGCGCCGCTGTTGGACGACGACGACGATGACCACCAGCCCGGGGAGCCGCGGCGGGACGTGACCGGCGAGAAGAGCTTCGTGAGCGAACCACAGGAACACCGCACGGTCGAGAGGACGAAAGAGGACATAGACGGGCGGGCGCTGTACGGGCTGTGCGAGGCGGCGCTGGCCAGCGTGCCCTGGCGGTACTCGCAGGCGGCGGCCGCGCCCGTGCTGACGCTGCCTCAGCTCACGGAGCGGGAGGGCGAGCCTCCCTCTCGCGCGGCCGAGGAGGAGGCGGCCCGGCTGCTGGAGGGCGCGCTGGAGACGGCCGCCGCCGACCCCGAGCTCGACGAGCTGGGCCGGCCGCAGCGCCCGCTGTCGTTCGCGGAGTGGCACGAGTGCGCGCGCCTGGGCGACCTGGTGGCGCTGCCGTACGTGGTGATCGACTGACGAGCCGCGAGCCTCGCCCCGCCGGCCGCTCCGCCTCACCGTGTTCCAAGTGTCCTTACCTTAGTTTTAAGAGACGGTTATCGTATAAGTGTGGTGAGTGTGAGCGCTCTCACTGGAGGGGGGGACTCGACGAGTTGTGATATTAGTGTTACGGTGGCGCGACGGCCGTCTCCACTCTGAACTGTTTCATATTGAGTTATCTTGTTACCGATTGTGATTTATAAAAAGAAATTAGGTAATTAATAATAATAGGAGTTCCAATTGTATATTATACATATATATTGCTATATCGAGTCAAATATCAAGTAACGATTTATAACGTTGGGATGTCCAAGTCGACCAAACATCTCGTAAGCGAAAATGGTACGTTGAACGGTTTGATAGTATATTTTGATGAAATTGGAGGTGATTATAATACAGAGGTAGTATCTGAAGGCCCCTGCGTGCTGCGTCGGTGTTGTTTAAAGTGTTCGGTTCGTGTCGTCGGGTGTGTGTGTGTGAGGCAGGGGTCGCTGCACCCGGTTTAGTGGTTCTATTCGCCCATGTGCCACAAGTGTTGTGCCAGAATCGGTATAAACGTGTTTTTTAATATATAAACATAGATTTTATGAAGGCTTAGTGTGTTTTTCATTTTATAATTAGCCTTTCGACGGTCCCGTTTTTGTAATCAGACTATACAAATCTTTGTAACGTTCAGTTTTTGTGTCGGTTTATATTTTATAAGAATACAATAACCTAGTACATTATAATAATTTATTGTTAACGTCTGTAATCCGTACTCTATGTGTTGAACGGTGAAGTTTGCTTGTTATATTCATTTTTGTATTAAGTTTTCACAGAATGAGCTCAATTGTACATATTGTTGTTAGAGTTTTAAACTCGATAAGTTATTGATGAAATGTTATTGAACATTCAAGCCACTGATGTACCATAGCCGGTTCGGGATAATGTTTGTTTGTAAAAATTTATACAATATATATTGAATTCAAACCAAAGGCTTTACTAAAGGACCAATAGTTTTGCTTTAAAAATTCATTATTAATATAGCATCATAATGAAAAAAGAAATTGTAACATAAAATAACTGATCCAATATAGAATTCATAACTTATAATGTTTTTATTGCACAATTTGTTTGTCTTTAATGTTTTTTATTGTTTTGACGGTATGTCAGCTATCACCAAATGATACTAAACTATTTTCTACTTCACTCTTGTTAACTTTCTGTTAACAGCCAAAGTACGGCCAAATTTTCACTGGTGTTGTATGCAATATTTCTTTAACTTGTTTTGTATAAATGATAAATGAATCTTCCTGCACATATCTGTTTATAAAAAAAATATATTTATTGTTATTTTTATGTTTATTGTTCCAATTGAAATCGAAGACCAAATTTAGTGAAATATTAGCGTTTTGTACATAACTGTAATTAGTCCTATGTAAGTCTTTTATTTTCGTGAGAATTCGTTTCGAAATGTTATTATATGAAACCCTAGTATAATAAACGCGGGACGTTAGCCTTTATAAGAATTTAATAGGACATGAGATCGCTAAAAAGATTTGTACACACCGAGCTCTCTGTAGCGTTCATTTATTTTTATATTCCATATTACTAGTTATTATCGACAGATCCACTAAACTGGGACGGACACTGAAGGCCTTACATTTAAAGCGCGGGTGATTCCGGGCGTGAAGCTTGTTTAGCGGGCTATGTAACCCGGAGACTGCCTTGTTGGACTTGATCCAAAATTTTGGTAAAATATAAAAGCAAAATATATGTGTTTTTATTACGATAACATCTTTTATTTGCCCTCAAACTAATAACGGCGACTGGTTCGTCGATTCAACTGTTCTTACACAAGTTATTTGTGTGTTTAGTAAATTCAAAGTTGCATTTTTTTTATTTCATTAATATTACCGTATCAGTTGATATACGATATATTCCAAAAATTTTAAAAGAGTTTTTTAAAGCCTTTAAATAAAATTAAACCAAACAGTTATAACTTAAACTGAGTAAACAAATTGGTTAAGTTAAATAATTAAATGTTTTGCTACATAATTCGTCCAACAAATAAAAGCATTGACTTTGGTAAAATACTCCACAATTCCAGAGCGAATGAAGCCATAGCTTAAAAATATTCTTGTTATTTTTATGTACCTATGTCAAAAGCGATATTTTTATTTAGTAATAATATGTCATTGACATTTAAAATTTGATTTGGAATCTAAATATGGCGGTTCGATGATAACACGATTTATGATCTCATAAAGACAAACCTGATTCTGTAGAATACTTCGGTCTACAACTGACATTTTTTTAAAGAAAGTTAAAATAACAGATGAAAATGCACCAAATATAAAAAAGCAACCCATTCTTACCTGTTGTATGTTATTGAAACGAGTAGGGAAAGACAATAATACCAAAGTCCATAAGACGACCTATTTTTAAAAATATATTTAAAAGGGATCTATGTTTTTCGGGTATAGTGTATACCGAATACTTACGCAGTTTTATTATTATATTTTATGCTGCTTTTCAATTACTTTACAACATCTGTAATCACGAACAGAATAGATGAAGATTTTACCTTTAACTCAATTGCAAAAGTCTCAAAAATCTTAAAGAATACATTTCACTTATAGAATCTTAAATCCACCTTATCAACCTTACATTAATTAAGAAAATCTAAGTTTGAAATAAAAATAAAAAGTAAAGTCCGGTCAATTTAGACATTCGAAGTTACCAGTTAAAGTCCCAACAAGCTGAATTTCTGTAAAATTGTACAAAACAATCATTATAAACGATGTCTAGAAGTTCCCCCTCATTCCCCTGTAAGGAAAAAAAATTATTCAAGGTCAAAGGTAAAAAAAATGAGTTTTTCGCGATTTTCAACAAATCGGTAAGTTTTATCATAAAAGTACCTAGGACAAAAATTTTAGATCATAAAATTATCTATTAAAAATGTATCAATACTTTTTTTTTACGAGCCACCGTTACTGAGATATAACGATTCAAAAAGTTATAAAAGTTGTTATCGTCATAATATGCATGAGTACGCCACGTATATATAGTTGTTATATACATATATAACAGTCAGTGCTGGCCTAGTGGTTAAAAGGCCCACCTCTCATGCAGCAGGGTGCGGGTTCGATCCTGGCCCGGGCAAGTACCAATGTGATTTTTCCGACTCATATTATGTACTTTCTAAGAGTATTTAGACATCACTGATTAATGCTGATTCCCAAAGAGGGTTGATGTCAGGCAGGCGGCCGGTCGTACAAACAAATAGCCAAAACTATTCACAACATGTAATGCAGACCCTGGCTATAGCTGGGAAATTGCCAGGTAGAAGAAGATTTATATATATAAATATTGTTTTATTTGTGCTAAACTTTTAACTGAAAGTAAAGTTGTTACTGTTGAACGTGGTATTAATTAATGCAAGTGTCGAAAGAGTTAATGATTTTTCGGAATATCTCAAAAATCAGAAATCTGTGGCAATATATGAAAATTTCTGTAAAAATTATACTCGAAAGTCTTCTTTCTGCAGCTAATAAAAGACAACGTGAAAAACAAGAAGCCAGGACATCCACAGCGTACGTATACGTATACGTACACGTATCAGTGAATCAGCTTTTTGTTTCAAAGAACTATGCTTATTTTGTAGCGAGAAATTAAATGAAGAGAGTGAAAGAAGAAAATCCTCAGATTTTCGGGGTCGAATCAACAGACTGTTATATAAATTAATACAAAATATAACAACTCTAGATATATACGTAGCGTACTCATGCATATTATGACGATAACACCTTTATAACTTTTTGAATCGTTATATGTATCTCAGAAACGGTGGCTCGTAAGAAAAAAAGTATTGACATATTTTTAATAGATAATTTTATGATCTACAATTTTTGTCCGAGGTACTTTTATGATAAAACATTATAACACAATAACAACATACATTTTGCTGAAAATCCCGAAAAACTATTTTTTTTTTACCTTTGACCTTGAACTTTTTTTTCCTTACAGGGGAATGATGGGGAACTTCTAGACATTGTTTATAATAATGTTTTGAACAATTTCACAGAAATTCAGCTTGTTGGGAATCTATGTAACTTCACTCTCATTTTTTGGTCTAAATTGACCGGACTAGTAGTGTTATGTGTCACTAACACAGTCTCAAGTCTGTTGCGACAAGAAAGAAGGTATTGCAAGCTTCCATGAGAATGAAACATATTGATAGATATTTAATTAAGTATGTTATTGTATCAAAAATAAGTTAACTTAGTAAGATATTATTATAATAGGTAATGTCTTTGATGTTTCACAAAAAAACAATTGACAATGGCTATTAATTTATAAATTTCGGCAATTTGGCACTCAAACTAAGTTATTGCTCGATTCGATATATCCCTTAAAAACCCGTAAACTCCGCTATTAATGATGTCGTTCCCCTTTTAACTGTTAAATATTTAAAAAGAGAGTAGGACAAGGTGCTTTGTGATGCTTGTTGTATCAATTAAGATGAAACAATCGAAAACAGTGATTTGCAAGCTATTATTAGTTGAGTGAGTATTTCGTTCCAGATTAATTGCTGCTGTTGTTGAATAATTTGAGTCTGACTAGGAGAAAGAAAACTCCAAAGCGAAAGCAAGCACACTTATGTGCGATGCTGATCCCTTATGCTTCGAAAATACTTTCGACTCCGGTGCTCTTTCTGACAAACCCCGCGGGCCGACAAAGTAAGGCAAGCCCCTAACGGTCTCACTGCTCCACAACATACAACCTTAAACTATTAAGAGCGTCGTTAAAGCAGATCAGTGAGTTCCAAGAGGGAGAGAGCTGGCTACGCCTCTCTGATATCCTTTCGCTCATCAAAAGCAGAAGGAAAACGCGAAAGAGGGATATAGAATTAGATATGAACAAAAGCTTAGTAGCATTCCTGAAAGAAACAGTTATAATATAGACCCAAGTACAAGAAGCCGATCCACAGTCCACTT